CTGTAAAATTAAGCAAGTTAGCTATTTAACATCTTATTAAAAAGTACAATTTGCAAATAATCCGATTTTCGTTTTAAGTTATAACAGTATTTTCCACTCTCTAACAAAATCGAATGGATAGAAAAACGGATAGATAAATGAATGGGTTGGATATTTAAAAAACAAAAAAGTAAAAGACCTTGGAAGAGAAGGTTTTAGTGAGGAAATATTCAGGTACAAATAGCAATAGCTTTATGCGTAAGTAATAATTAAATGTAAAAACAGACACACAATGTTTGAAGCAGACAAAGCATTCCATCATGCAACGCCATGCTGTCGAAGACAGCATCTTGAAAAGAACCATTTCATTCATCCCAATTCTTTTATTAAGTAGGAACTCGAAGGAAGTGTAATTTAAATTAAAAATACCATTTGATTAAGTAGCACAACAGAGTGATTCTTTATCGATAACTCGGAAAATGGAACGCCTTTATTTAATATTTTTCGTACCTTTTGAACATTATTGTAGTCAATGATGTCCCATAGACGTTTCAACATCGATGATAAATCTAATGAGTGTTGTTATTTTTGGCAATAAGAATTGTAAAAGATTGGTCAATCGAGAAATGTTTTTTATCGATTTTAATTTGCCTTGTAAGAATGGCTTATTTTTAAAAAAATTAATTGCCGATAATTGCTTGTTCATATATTCCTATAAATTTAATAAAGCAATCACTGGAACTTTTTTAAATTCAGAAAAGTTTACCGCATAAGCAAAATTTGTGAACTGATTTGTCAATACTTAAATTAGTTAAGTGCAATGCATATGTATGATAAAACAAAACAGGAAGGTGCATGTTATGCTTTCCTGGCCGGTATGAATGACGAACTTTTGGTCATTGAGGTAATAAAAAATACTTTCAATCAAAGTATGTCGTGTACCCGACTGAAAGATACTCACTTTGATGCATGGCTTTTGTTTATGTGTCAAAGCGAGACCATTTTGAAGCAGTTGTTGATGACATGAAATAATTTTCTTCTGTTTAATTCAAATTTACATCCCTTCTCTGAATCATTATACTCATTTCCTGGTGTAATAATTTATTAGCAATCTTTAGCAAATAAGAAATTTTAAAAGTACTTTAAAAATTAGGATTAAATAATTTACGTGTCCTCATTCAGTTTAATTTTAAAAAAGCATTAGATTTAAGAAAGTTCTTTAAATTTTGGATAAGACGTGCATTAAAATGATTCAAAGTTATTAATCAGAAGACCACTGCTGGTAGCAACTGCGATTTATTCTAAATTTTGAATTCATTCTAGCATGAATATGTTTCAATCGCTTCACTTTGAAAGAATAAAGTGCAACTAAATGAATGATATACTCTTTGAGAAACATATAATTAAAAGATGAATTTGGTAGAATTTGAAGTGTGGAGGCTTATATTTTGGGAAATATGTTCCAGCTGACGTGTGCATAATTTAGTTGGAAATTTTGTTCGCAATCATTACAAGATGACGTTGTTTTTGTGGTAGGTAAAGCTTTTAATTCACTTTTATTTGACTGATACAATTACCAGTACTAAAGCTTCTTACGTCATCACAGCAGAGAGACATCGCTTTCTGAAATTCAGAATGATTTTGATAGTTCTCACTCCGGTCGTATTAATCGATCAACAATTCGATAGCATTTGCAATATTTAGGTCAAAACGATTTTAGCGATTAATATCACAACAGCATAGTAAAATGATAGCGGCAGAGTAAATGAATTCATTTCCTTCTTCTTATTTTAAAATTTATTGGAAAACAAAATTTGCGATTGCGGTAATGTTCGGTGATGGTTTGTTGTTTGAGATAGATTGGTGTACATTTCATATATCAGAGAGGACAGACGGATGAAAACTTCATGAGAGAAGGAAGCAGCGCAATTCAACTATGAAGAAGGAAAGTAAGGAATCTGTGTTACACCGAAAGGAATGGTACGGTAGTGACTCCATGCTTTCTTAAAGCATAAGAAGTTTCACAAATGAATTAAGAAACTGTGAATTCTTTCCTCTGTTAGACCCTAAAATTCCTAAAGTAATATTTTCTGTTATTTATGCTCACAATGTAAGTGTAATGAAGTTAAAATTCATCTGGAATTCTTTTCATAATTGGTTGATATGTTCTCTGATAAAATAAATTTTTGATTTTGTTGAAAGGTGTGTAGTGGGTTAAATTCAACTGTAGAATTGATTTATCATTTTATACCTGAAATTTTAAATTCATTCAAATTCATGCGATCAATGTTTGCAGTTGATTGAACCTTAACACTTTCAAATAGCCAATTATGACAATTCGACAGCGGTATATTAGTCTTTATCACTTCTTATTTCATCATTTACTTTTTTCTAGCTTTATTGTTTACTTGAATGACTTAAAAATTATTTATGAAACGATGAAAGCATTCTTACTACTTATAATTATACGATAAAATCAGTAAAAATATAATGAACGGAGTACTTAGAAATATTAATGCAAATAACAGAGTTTAAATTTTGAGAAATATTGCTGACAGTTATTTTAACTTCGATTGTCCAAAAATTCAGGGTTGTAAGGAAATGAATTATACTTAAAAATTGTATCGTATATTTGAAGACAATATATGTGAAATATAAATTAGCTGTCTATGCTGGAATGAAAATGAAGAATAAAGTGACACAGCTTAAATTAATTGAAGATGAAAATGCATGTGATAAAAAGAATAATGTATCAAATAAGTTAATGAGAAAAATAGATGTGAAAATTGGCTTGCGATTAGAATGGGAAATGATGATGATCTCAGTGCAAAATGATTTATAACAGTGGGTGATAACGCTGATAGCGATAATATATGTCGTAATAATATATCAGGTAATAAAACAGATGTGATGACACAGAAACATTTGGAATTTTAGAATTGAGAGCAAATAATGATGAGATAGCAGAAGAAAGTACGATTATTCTTGAGTTTAAAAATGTGAGGAGAAAATCGCGAGAAGGAATACGTTTGGATTTAATGTTGCGATGTCAAAAATTGATGGAGTAAAAAGTAATGGTAAAAGTGTGCTCGATTAAAAACGCTTAAACTTTGCCCTTTTCGGTGTATTTTCAGTGAAGAATGCATCTTAGCCATATCATGGATATCATTAATGAGATGACAGTGCAAATCATTTTAACTTATTGACATGAAAAAATCCAACGCTTTTCTGTTTGTTTAAAGGTGATTGTGGGCCATAGAATACAATTGGTTGCTTTGGGATCATCATCGAGAATCCGGTTGTATTGAAGTCCATTAAATGTAACATTCTCTATTATTGAATAGAATGATCTTTGCTCCAAACAAGAATGTTAGTAATTTTCATTTATGTAACTCGAGTATCATCAAGATTGAAAACAAAAAATAGCTTATTTCTTTCAAAAAAATAGCATATTTCAAATTTGAAACTGCAATACCACTGATCACTGATAATCTTTAAAGTTAGTGCATACTGACGAAACATACGATTCTCATACTGGATCAACTAAAAACCAAGATCAGTTAACCAAGAATGTCTATCAAAAAATGAATAGCTGAAGTCATCCATTAATTAAATTTCACTTCTATCCTCCCCTCCCCCCTATTGGTAAACTTAACCTTTAATGAATAGCTGAAGTCATCGTCACTATATTGCGCACGAGCATTGTTTTTCGCGTGTATTGGATAGGACTTAAAACCGATATAATGGTAATGCCTAAACAGATATCTGGATTACGTGAACATGTTTCCCATTATATTTCAATGGATAATGCAGGAGATTTGGATAATACGGGAGATCTGCATTCCTAAAAGACGATAATATCCTGCAAAACATTCTTATTAAAAATATAATTGCAAATAATCCAATTTTCGATTGTTAAAGTGGAAATTTTGGAATAAGCTGAAAATTTCAATTATAATTTGAGAGTCTGTTTGCAATACCACTTCACTGGTACCGTTTTAATTCTACAATTTAGTTTAGAGAAAATTAAAAGCTCGAAGCATTTTGAACTGTCACTTCTAAAGACTGATCTTTGCTTCTTCTTTACTTTAACAGCTTTTAAAAACTGCTAAAACACTGACTTTTTCAAGTTTTAGTCATCATTCCAGCGATTAAATAACAAATGAATAACAACATAATAGTTTATCAAAGAAAGCATACGTGAAAACAATAATAGGCATATAAAATTACATCCTTTTTCAAATTAATTTTAAAAATCGCGCCGAAAAGGTAATAAAGCATTTAAAATTATATGGAATATATGTTACATGTGTTCAACTTCCTACACTAGGCGAAAATAGCACCGTGACACCTGTACCAGTTGAATTGAACGATGGTGAAAAAGCATTCGGTGAAAAGACAACCGCAGCGATATAAGATGGTGAAAAGAAGGACGGTGATAGTGCAAATGGGCTTGCGATTACAGAGCCAAGTGCTGATGGTGAAAAAACGGAAGGGTTGAGAGCAAATGGGCTCAAAATAGCAGGTGAAAGTACAGATGGTGATACAATACCCGGTGATAATGCATTGGGTGATAAGATGGCCGGTGAGAGTGCAGCGGGACTTAGAATTCCCGGATTAAGAGCAAATGGTGAAAGGATAAGAGAAGTAAATGCTACGGGTGATAAGATCGCAGGACTTAGCAAACTTGGAGAGAGGAGCGTGGCAAGGAATGCACCTGGGCTTAATACAGAAACACCGAGGACTGATGGAGAAAGGAGTGATAACGAAAATGCTGCAGGTGATAGGATGGATGGTCCTCCACCTGGATTAAGAACATTCGCAGAGAAAGCTGAGGGAGCAAGTATGTTTTGCCGTTTCCGGCGTATTTTCAATAAAGAATGCATTTTAGCCATATCACGGATATCATTAATGAGATGACGGTGCATATCATCTTCACTTAATGACATGAAAAAATCCAATGCTTTACTGTTGTTTAGAGGTGATTGTGGGCCATAGAACATAATCAGTTGTTTTGGAGTCAACATCGAGAATCCGGTTGTATTGAAGTCCATTAACTGTAACATTTTGTATTATTCAGATGATTCGCTTGAAATAAGAATGTTAATAATTTTCATTCATATAGCTCTAAAAGTTAAATGTAAGAGTTATATAAAGTTCTCATTTTATATCTTTTTTATAGTATCATTATGAGGAAGACAAACTTGTTTCGA